CGTCTGCGAAGATTCTCCACTCTCACCATGGAGTGATTAGGTTAAGGCCCTGACTGCAAGCAGCTGCGCGTGAGTAGCCGCGCGGAATGCACCCTTCCCGGATGGCCTCAGCCAGTGGTGCTGCTCAATCCCATCGGAGACCGCGCGCGCAGCGCGCTCCGTGTTTGCAGACCGCCCTGGCGGACTCGTTTACACCTCCAAGCTCAAGCCAGGCGCCGCAGGCCATGAAGAGGAGCGCAGATTAAAATGGCGCCGCAGGCTCCCCGGGCCGTCCGCGCACAGACCACAGGAAAAAACAAAAATCTATAAAACATCTATCAACACCACTAGCGGGTGGGTGGGCTCCGATCTCCCCATCTCCAATACTCTCTAATCCACAGCGTCGTCATCTTAGGCCGGGGATCCAGTCAGATCTCCGATCTCCATCTTCAATCTCCAATCTCCAACGTCGTCATCTTAGGCCGGATTCAGTCAGATCTCCGATCTCCATCTCCAATCTCCAATCTCCAATCTCGATTCGGGGGCCCGGGGGAGGAGGGGGGCTCAAACCTTCAAGGAGATGCAATTTGGATTCATTCACACTGACCATCTCTCGTCTCCGATCTCCAATCTTCTACTTGGCCACTGTCGCCGCCGGCAGCAATCTACGACCTCCATTTTCAATCTTCGATCTCACATCTGGGGCGGATGGCTGGGCGCTAGGATCTACAATCTGCATTCTCCATCTCCTATCTCCCACATTTTGGCCCGTGTTGCTGCTCAGCGATCTGCAATCCACAATCTCAATCTTCGTTCTTTAGTCTTGAATGGGGAACCGGACAGGAGGGATCTACTGGCGAGACTTGGGCGTGTCCGTGTGAGAGATCCGCTAGGATCTCCAGTCTTAATCTACTGTCTCTACCCCCACGATCTACTGTTCTTGCGCAGAGATTTCCATTACTCTCACAGAGCTCATGAGCAAATCTCAAATCTCCGCACTCCGGCACTGGACGCAGCGACTAGGCAGCTCCTTCCGGATGTCGCCGCGAAAGCGATCTATTGGGCGACCGCGAGCAAGCCCCGCCGAGTGGGAGGGGGGGGGCGTGCTGACCGAGGCTTCTGCCCGAGGCTGCCTGGGCCGCGAAGAAGGACGCGAGGAAGCGCCTGCGAACTTGTCGAGGACACGGGCCATCTCTTCCGGCGAGCGGACAAGGACGCTGACAAGACGCAAAGTCGAGGAGCAGACGAGAAGCAGGGTCATCGCACGCGCCACAAAGCGAGGCGAGGCCTGTGCCAGGTTGGCGAGGGCCAGCACAGCAAAGCCCGCGGCACCGAGGAGACCGGCGGGGTTGGTGGTGTTGAGCTCGGCCAGACGAGCGGCGAACACCACCGCGAGGGCGAGCGAGAACTGGACCGGTGCGAGCGCGCCCAGACGCGCCGAAAGCGATAGCTGCACCGGCTTGTACTGCACCACGTCCGAACGCAGTGGGATGCGCATGGAGGGCGGCGAAGGCGGCATGGAGGGCGGCGGCACGCCCGCCCCTAGAGTCGGACGCGTCTGCAGCAGCGGCGGTGTCGCGGAGCCAGAGAGAAGCAGATCGTCGATGGGGCTGCCGCCCCCGAAGTGCCACGTCATCTCGTCGGGCCCAAGCGGCGGCGGCGTGCCGGCCTCGGCGAGCGGGCCGAGAGCGCGCGAGATCTCCGCGAGGAAGGGCTCGAGGCCAGCCTCCAACCCAGACCCAGACGCCTCGCTCGCGTGCGCCGCCGCCGCAAGCCCCTCGACAGACCCCTCGACACGCCCCTCGGCCGCTGCGTTGCGAGCCCGAGGGGTGTCGCGCTCGGGCGGCGGGGGCGGCGAGAGAAGAGACGCAACGGCCGACGGCAGAGCCATCTCGCTCCTGAGCGTGCGGCCCACCCTGAACGCCACCCAGCCGCCGGAGGACAGAGCGGCGGCCTCGGCCAGGCCGGGCAGCGGGCCCGGAAGCTCGTCCTTGAGGATCACGAGCGTCGGGCCCGAGCAGTCGGACGTCTGGTTCACGACGCGGTGCGCAGGCAAGCGCGAGGACGGGGACGGCTCGTTCCAGAAGCCGAGCCCGTGGCGGTTGGCGATCTCGTCGGAGCCCTCGCCGACGGGCACGCACACCCTCGACGCGGGCACAAACACGCCCTGTTTCCGGCAGCGGCCGCAGAACCTCTCGCGAAAGGCGGACGGCGGAGGCAGCGCCTCGCAGCCCAGCGTGCCGCCCGAGACGACATCGCCCCAGCACGTCCTCGCCTGTGGCCGTGCCTCCTGGGGCGTGTGCTCGCTGCGCGTGCGCTTGCGGGGTGGGGCGGCAGGCTCCGCAGAGCGCGACCCCTCCTCCTCCTGCTCAGCTACCTCGGTCGCAACGACACGCCGCCCTCGCTCCCAGCCGGAGGCGCAGGAGCCCAGCTCGAGATCGCCCTCCGCCACGACCGGCGTGGTCGGCAGGGTGGGCGGTGTCGGGTACGTCGAACCCGCGGAAGCCGCCGCCATACCCTCGGCCCGGAGAAGCCACGCCCTCGCACGCTCGGGAGCCGCCAACACCTGCTCGGCTGACATCACGGCGGCGAGCCAAGGCACGCGTGTGAGAACCCCGCGGCACAAGTCCAGCTGAAGAGTGTCGCACGCCGCTGCTCGCAACGTGAACTCCTCTCGAGCTTGCGTGAGCTCTTGCTCGAAATCGGAGAGCGCTCGGGCAGCCTCGTTGAGCTCCGAGGCAGCGGCCCGATCAGCCTCTGCCCGCGCCAAGGCGGCAGCCTCGTCGGCAGCCCGCCTCTCCTCATAAGCAGCGGTGGCAGCGCGCAGCGCGGCGAGGCTTCCCTCGGCGGGGACCATGCTCACATACACTTGTTTCACACCTTGCCCAGGTGTGAACAACACCTTGATAGCCCTGGATGGGCAATGCATACGCCTAGCTGGGCCTTAGATCGCCCGACCGCGTCCCGGTGCTCTGTGGTCGGATTTGTGACGCCGCAGCACCGCGCCGCGGCCGGGGGCCCTCCGGAGGCCAAGGATGGCCGTGGCGTACCGGGATGAGCTCTGGGAGGTGGAGTGTCAGTGAGTATATTGTAGAGACAGACCGTGTGCACACTATCTCTCACTCTAGCTAAGCCAGGGGAGGCGATGCCGGGGCCGTACAGCAGCTTGATGGTGCCTCGCCGGCATGCGTCCCGGAGCGGTGCCGGACGGGCGGTCCGGGGGAGAAAACTCAGGACAACGCCGACACCGCTCTGATTCGACTTTTGACTTCAAACAAAGACAGTCGCACGCGCCACAGCACGGCGCGTGCGACTGTCAGGAGCGGATCCGTCAGTTAGTTGTGTTCACGGCGCGATCGTGTCCTGAGTAACCTGGGCAACCATTCAGGGCGACGAGTAGATACCTGTGAGAACCCCGACGGAAAGGGTGCCCACAGGACCCAAAAGGAAATAGCCTGCCGGCTCAAAAAGCAAAGGGACGCACGAGGCAAATCTGATGTTGGAGTGTTCCAATAGGAGCGAGGCCTCTTCCGTTGGGGGACCGAGTGACTAGGAAACGAGGGTTCCCCATTGTGTCCCCTTCCTTCGCGTGCGAGCGTGACACTGCACTTGGCGGCGAGCGCCCGCGGCTCAGACCTTGTGCAAGCCGACCCTCGGTGGGAGCACCGGTCCGGACCGATGGCGCTCGGTGTGGAGCAAGCAAGACCCCCCCCCCCCCGGCGCGCGCCCGACCTTTGAACGGCCGCCAGGAGCACCAAGAGGACTCCTCATGGCTGCTCCCAAGGGGGCTTCGACCGCCCTCGGCTGGGGGGGCGGGTTGTCCCGGCTGCGGACGCGTTCTGCAGCCCGCTGGGCCCGTGACAGCACCCCAAAACTGCCCCTCGGCGGCATACAGCACTGCCAGCCAGCCTCTTCCTAACTTCGGCGTTCGTCCTATAGTGGAAGCTGGACGCACGTCGGCAAGTGGGCCCATGACAAGGCGGGCTGCTGCTCAGAATCTGGGCTCTCTTGGCGCTCGCTCTCGCGCTCTCCATAACCTCTTTGCCCCCTCCCTCCCGCGCCGACGTTGGGCAGCCCGACCACGACAACGTCAGCGCCGCCGGCCTGCAACTCGAGGCGCCGTTGAATGAGCACGAGAGCCGGTGTGCAACGGCGGCGCGGGCGATGTAGCCCAAGGTGGCGGCGGCGGCGGAGGGGGCGGCGGCGGAGGGGGCGGCGGCGACGGCGGCGATGGCCGCGGGGTCGGCCCGCCCGCCTTTGCTGCTGGTGCTGTGGGCATCATCACAGCTCAACCACAACCTGAAGTCAAGGTGCAGAAGCTTCAGTGGGCACTTTTCGCGTCCTTTGCCACGTATATGGCGCTGCGAACCGGTCTACCGGCCCCGCCCCTGATTGTGCTCTCTTCCTCGACTCGACCTTCCGCGACCTTCCTCGACTCTCGACCTGATGCTGAGTTTCCGCACCAGCGCAGCTCAGTGGCGCAGTGTGCGACCAGGGCCAGTGGTAGACAGTCACGACGTGCGTCAGGCTGCTCTCTCTGAGCGATGACACTAGCAGTAGCATTGTCAGTGTCATCGGAGTCACTTGTATTTACGACGCCGCCACGCTCGCAAGGGCCGCCTAAGCGCCTAAGCACCCTAAGCACCCCCCGCTTAGGCCGCTTAGGCGCTTAGGCGAGCGACGGCCGGCTGCCCGGGGCTGGCGTGCCTCTGCCGTGGGGTGAGCGCCTGGGAGAGCCACTCTGCAAGTGGTGTGCGAGTGTGTAGCCTTTAGCGTGCAGTCGGCCGCGAGCTCCTGGACGACTCGCGAGACCCTATCGCCTATGGTTGGTAAGAGGGGGGGGGGGGGGCTAACCGGCGACCCTCTCCTGGTGGCGGTGCGCCACCCAGAGCGACCTCAGGCTTGCTCTCGCCATCGGCCCAATGCCGGGGAGGGCGGAAGCGCGCGTCTCTGCCCTCAGTCAAGACGCCCGTTCCCGTCGCCCGGGGGAGGGGCGTCCCACGCTGAGGGGGGCGCCGCCACCGACCAAAATCGCCGCCGCCGCCAGCGACTCGCTGGTGCTGAGTGGCGGGGGCCGCCTCAGCAGGATCGCGTCTGGCTGCGACGCCCTGCCGACAGGGCGTGGCGGGGCGGAGACTAGCGGCCCGCCCGTCGCGAGGCCGGCCGCCGCCACGCTGGCCGCCGCCACGCCGGCGGCTGCCGCGCCGGCGGCTGCCACGCCCGGCGGCCAGCGCGGCTGACGCGGCCGGCACGGCCGGCGAGCGGCGTCCCGCAGCCGTGTTCATGTCGGGGAGGGCCTGTGTGCGGATCTCGCGGCAGCAGCGCTCGTGGTTGGACTTTGCGCCGGCGTTGGTGAGCGCTGCAGTAGATGCACTGCAGCCAGCCGGCGCCGCCTGCGAGTGCGCCGGATGCAGGTGAGGGGGAAGGGCGGGCGGGGGAAGGGCGGGGGGGGGGGGGGAGGGCAGCGGGACGCTGCGATGGAGAGACAGACGGGAGCGAGGAGGGACGGCGCCTGCGGCGGGCGCCCGCGGCCTTCTGCTTCTTGGCCGGCGACTCCTCCTCCCCCGCGCCGCCCTCCTCCACTGCGGACGTCCCCGACGAGCGAGCTACAACGTGACCAGCCTCCCGTGCAGCGCAACCCCCGCCAGCGTCGCCACCGCGTAGCCGCATGTGCCGCACGCGGCCGCCGCGGGCACCAGCGAGTGCCACCCCATCGCCGACGCCATCGCGACTGCGGTGCCGGCGCCGCCCACGTTTGCGTTGGACGCGAGCAGCAGCACAGGCAGCGGGACGCGCAGCCCGACCGCGCCGAGGAGCGCGCACCCGCCCAGCATCGCGACCGCGTGCACGGCGAGCACGAGGAGGCAGGCGAGCGCCGCCACCCGCCCCGACGAGAGCAGCGGCGCCAGCTGCGCCGCGCCGCCGAGCGAGGCGAGGAAGCCGCACGCGAGCAGCGACGAGAGCGGAGCGAGGCGGCGCAGCGCCGCCGCAGCCACGGGCGCGCGTCCGACCAGCCCGCAGAGCGCGCTGCACATCAGGGACGTGCAGAGCATCCCGCTCCCCGCCGCCGCCGTCCGCACCTCGACCGCTCTGCCACAAGCGCAGCAGGCGGCGGCGAGTAGGAGGCCACCGCCTGACCAAGCCGCGGAGGCGAGCCGGGCGCGCGCTGAGGCCAGAGGAGGCGGCGGGCTCGAGCCGGCGGCGGCAGCAGGCGCGGCGTCGGCCCCTTTCGCCTCGACTCTCGCCGGGGCTGAGAAGGCGCGCTGCAGCAGGGGGAGCCTCGAGCCGCCGGTCAGCGCCACCAAGTACACGCCCATGACGACGAGGTCGGCGGCAAGGAGGGAGGGGAGGAGCGCGCCAAACTCCGACGCGCCCACTGCCGCCGCAACGCCGAAGAAGTTCGCCGAGCCCCCAATGTAGGTGGCGGAGAGGCAGCCGGCGGCCGCCGCCGCCTCGCGCACCGTCCAGAGGCGGAGCCAGCGGGCGGTGACAGCGTGCATGATCCAGGCGCCGAGCGCGGAGCCGAGCGCGCCCACGCCAAAGGCGCACAGCATCGGCAGGAGCTGCGAGTCAGGAGCTGACTGGCCGCCCGAAGCGAGTGGAGGAGGAGGAGCGAGCAGCCCCGTAGCCACCGCGAGAGGCAGCGCGACGGTGGCGCACGCATCGTAGGCGGGCGCCGACGCGGGTAGGATCCCAACGTTGGAGAGGACCGCGGCGAGCACAAAGGCGAGCAGCGGCGGCGAGAGTACTCCGGACGCTGCTTCCGCCCGGCACGCGGCCAGGCTGACCCCAGCGAGGACGGCGGCCGGCGGAAGCGAGGCGGCGAGCGGGAGAGAGCGGGCGGCCACGAGCGTTGGGCGGATGGCTGCGACTGCGACGTGCATCCCTCCGGGCATGTGGTGTCGGTGTGGGCGGCGTCAACGTAGCCAGAGGCGTGCCTCGGCGAGACTGCTGGCGTGCTGGGGCGAGCCGGGCGGCGTCAGCTGTTTTCACAGCAGGCTGGAAGTACCTCGCCAGCCTCAAAGGGGCGTTTTGCAGGTTCCGGGTTCCTATTAGGGGCTAATCTCGGAATTTGTCGCCATCAGCCATTCATCTTACGTAAGGATGGCTGAGCTAGCTACAGTGCAGCCCGTTGTACATAGGTAGGAACATAGCCTCCAAACCTATCCAATAAAGGGGGGGGGAAAGGGCAACCATCTTTGGTAGGGATGGCTGAAGCTCGCTGAAGAAAGAAAGAAAGAAAACAGACAACCCAAACGAGAGATAGGGGAGGAGGACAGGGTCGCTAAGAAAGAAAGAAAGAAAACAGAGAACCCAAGGGAGGGATGGGAGGACGGCACGCCGCCACCACACAGGGATTTTAATAAGGAGAGGGGTATGGTGCGCTAGCCGTCGCCCACCCTTGGGCGTCCGCCTCTTCCTATCTCTCTTCGCAGTCTCTCGCCGATTCTCGCTGCAACCTTCATGCCACCTCGCGGTCGTCCCACTCTCGTCGTTCTCTCCCTTGTCGCTTCTTCTTGTGTCGCGTCGCTCTCCTCTGCCTCGTTCTGCGACGCCGCCGCCGCCTCCGGTCCCTTGTTCTCGCTGCACCTAGGACACACACACACACACACACACACACACACACAGGGTCGCTGCTCCAGCCATACCGCCCACCGGGATTATTTGTGTCAAGGAGGCGCTGAGCTCAACAAACAGGAGCTGCCTGCAGGAGAGCAGCCCGCGATGCAGACCCAGGCGCACAAAGGTTACCGCGTTGCCGCCGGCCTGATGCTCGGCGTTATCGCACTAACTGGCATCGGCGCGAGTATCAGCAGGCGTGGCGCCGGGGCGAGATCAGAGGGTTCTGCGGCAGAGATGCCGGATGCCGGTGTGGCAGCGCCAATCACCGCGCCTACGGAGAAGGCGTTTCGCGTGTGCGGTCAGTACTGTGGAGACAACTGGTGCAGCGGGCAGAAGATCAAAGAGTCTGACTGTGCGTTGCTTCCGGAGCTGGCCGAGCCCGAGCACTGTTATGACAGATGCTGCCAAAATCACGACTTTTGCTGCACCGCCGGCCACGAGCAGCGGGATTGCAACCACAACATGGTTGACTGCGTCCAGGCGTGCGCCGCCACCGACTTTGGAAACGCCGAGATGGCCAACTGGCTGCAGTGCGGCTTTGCGCTCGAAGCCGCCATGTCGGTTATCCAGAGATGCGAGTGTGGGCTATGCCCGACGCCGCAGTCCGCGTGGGACGAAATGATGGACCCGGGACACGCCGATAAACTGCGTCGGCAGTACAACGGCTCGCGGACCCGGCCTGGTTGGTACCAGTTTGGCTGAGCGAAGGCCACCTCCCATCTGGACGGCTGTGAAGAGCATGGCTTGCTTCATCCCGTTAGCCCGCGGTCGCAACCGAAGGCGACCCCATGTCGTGGCTTGCCTGTGCGCCCATTGGTCCCCCGCCCCCTGTTGTGCTGTTGCACCGGTGCATCTGGGCATATATGTGTTGAGATGCGGCATGTGTGTGCGTGTGTGCAAAAATGACTGCTGTTCTCTGGGGGGGCGCGGGGGCCCCCGGAGGCACCGTGCGCCGCGCAGCAGTACGGAAATGGGGCTCCGGCTCTATGAGTCTCTATGAGCACCGACTTCCCGAATGATCACGGTTGATCAGAGGGCAGATTTGGAGAGATCTCGAGGAGTACATACAGATAGACCCTCCAACCATCAGAAAACTCCGACCTGATTGGTCGTACTGACCGCCGACAGATCACTCCAGACAGCAGACAGACTGAGACAGGCCGACGTCTGCACACGGCCGGCCGGGCGAGAGGCTTGACACGATCCGACCCTGCGAGACCCTGACGCTGCTGCTCTAGCTATCAGACATGCACTGCTGACTGCTGCCACAATGTGCGACCGGTGCTGGCCCACTTGGCGGCCTTCCCGGTCAGTGGTGAGGCGCAGTTCAGAGCTGTCGATGGCGCGATGCCGCACTGGTCCCACATTGGTAACACGAGACCACCACGTTTGCCGGTCCAAGAGAGAGGCACTGGTGCTGTCCTGAGAAGGTGCGTGGTCCCTCTTGACTGCCCTGCGCGCGAGGCTGTGTAGGCATAGCCTCGAGAGTGCCAGCAGCCAATCCGAGGCGACGCGCATTGCGTCAGAAGCGTGCACACGTTGGAAGGACACCTTCCGACTGGCCGTACGATCAGGTCGTCACTGAATGCTTGATACTAAGGCCGCGAGCTATGCAGGTGATCAATTGTGCAGCATGGCACGGTCAGCAGCGCCGACAGGCTGTCGCAAGGCGTGATAGCATGGCCGCAAGTACGCCGAATTCCCATGAAAAAGTGAAAAATCGCGCAAAAAAACCGAAAAAATCGGCGCCTGCGGCGGGCCATGGGACCCCATCGCCCCCCCGCATGGATACCCTCTAGGGCCCCCGCGCCCCCCCAGAGCTGCTGTTTTTGTATTTTATTTATTCATCGGCAACGAAAGATTCGTAACGAATGACTGTGAGTCCTAGAGACCTACAGACTGAGACTGACACGGTCAGACTGAGAGTGTGACTGAGATAAAAGCTCACGTGCCTCCCGTTGGCGTTTGTAACACGTGTCTCGCGCGCGCGAGCGAGACCAGACGCGTCACCCGTCAAATCTCTACGCGAGGGGGCGCACACTCTCACTGCACAGAGCTCAAGAGGCCCACCTCACGTCAACCCTCGCAGTCGCTCCTGCAGTGCACACAACTTGCACAGACGTGAGGCGAGCCGCGACCCCGGCGATGGTGCCTCCCGGCCCACAATGCAGGCCCACAATCCACCCTGCTTCATCTATGTGTCAGTCCTGCTTCTGGCGGGCGGTGGCCATGTTGACGAGAGGAGCGACCATCTTGTAGGCTTGCTTCGCCCCATCGACAATCTGAGGCATAGCGTGCTGGCACGACTCCCACACGCGCTTTGCGCCGAGGTGATACACCAACCCTCCCATGACGAGGAGCTCGTCAAAGATCCAAAACCTCTCCAGGTTGAGCAGAAGCACCGAGAAAAACGACCCAAATGGTGGCATGCTCGACAGAAACGTGCGCGCGAAGAGCAGCGCGGGCGCCAAGATGCCGACGATGAAGAAAACACGCGGCGCATCCTCGGCGAGCTTCACGCGCTGCTGCAGCCGATGCAAGACCTCCGCCTCGTCCTCCACTGTCACCAGCTCGGCGGTGCTCAGGGAAGAGCCCTGAAGCATCTCCCGGACCTTGTCGATCTCGCCGGCGGGGTCGACGTCCAAGGCGACCGAGCTGCGAGAGCTCCTCCTTTCTTGCTCCACACCCCCGATCTTGCAAATGTTCCAGTTCGCAGCGGCATCCCGCCCGAGCGCCTCGGTCAGGTAGGAGGCGACCTATTCAATCGCGCGGCGCACGTCTGACAGTGCGTGCTGCCGGCCGGGCCGCGCTGCGGGCCACGCAGCCTGGTCCTTTGCCTCGTCGTCCACCTCGTGCCAAGAGCGCTCACCCGGATTGCACTTTGCAATCACGATCATGACGTGGGCCCACAGCTCCTCATCGTCGACGCTGCCGTCGAAGGATGCCCGCAGAGCCTTCAGGATCTTGGCCGCATCGACGGCGCGCAGGTCGTCGCCGATGAGCACGAGGAACGCATTCACCTTCTCCACCGCCCGCAGCTTGACACAAAAGTCCTGCGCCCTCCCGTGCGCGAAGCGAGCCAGTTTCTCGTCATCGTCCTCGAGCGCGTTGAAGGTGTCGTCGGTGCCCGGTGTGTCGACCACGAGCAATGGCTCCGTGGTGCTTCCGAGCCATCCGACCTTGGCGCCAGTGACGGCGGCAGTGATAGACTTGCCCCTCCCCTCAACAAAGTTGGGAGACGCGAGCGTGTCCGGCTTTTCGCTGCGATTCATCTCGGAGTTGTACATCCATGTTCGGACCCCGGAGGAGGACACACAGCGGAGGCCAGAAATGATGTTGAGGAGGAAGGATTTGCCGCGTCCCGTCCGGCCCATCACGACCACGCGCGGCAGAGCCTCAGCTCCCGCAGCCGCCTCGACAAAGCCCTCCAGTGACTCGAAGTGCTCGACCGGGGCAGGACGCTTCGCAGTGCCTTCGTCGTCCTCGGCGGGTCGGTTGGGGGCAGGGGAACTGGCGGCCCGCGGCATGGATGGTGTTTATGTGTCGACGCGATGGACGGCCGTGCAGTGATTTTAGTATGTGGCAACCCAAGACACAGAGCTCACACAGGATCACAGCGGGAGGGCGGCGAGTCGCAATTCCAGGGGTCGTTGTGGCGGGCCACCCTGTCCAGAACAGCCGCGGTCCCCGTCATGGCGACCGTTCGAGGCTTTGCGGTTTTCTTTTCTTTTTCCTGTGTTAGTGCCAGTGCGCGCCAGTCCCGTGCCCAGTGTTGTGCGAGTGCATTATAAAATTCTTTTCCTCAGTGCGCGCCAGTCCCGTGCCCAGTGTTGAGAGATTTTTAGCAATACCTCAATACCAAACAAATCTGTCGGTGTTGTGCGAGGGAGTGCATTATAAAATTCTTTTCCTCAGTGCGCGCCAGTCCCGTGCCCAAAAAAAGAAAGAAAGAAAACAGACAACCCAAGGGAGGGATGGGAGAACGGCACGCCGCCACCACACAGGGATTTTAAGGAGAGGAGTGTGGTGCGCTAGCCGTCGCCCACCCTGGGGAGTCTGCCTCTTCGTATCTCTTTTCGCAGTCTCTCGCCGCTTCTCGCTGCAACCTTCATGCCACCTCGCGGCCGTGCCCAGTGTTGTGCGAGGCGGTCCACGTAATTCTTTTCCTCGTCTGGAATGCTCCTGCGGCCGATCTCGTCGTTCGCGGCGCTCGCGCCGGCGCTGCTGCCGCCGTCGCCTGGCCGCGCCGGCTGTCCCGTCATGATGCCGCGGCAGCCGTTCAAGGGCGGCAGATTTGATGACTTTCTCGATGCGGCCGAGGCTGAACGGCGCTTCGGCCCAAACAGGTATGCGGCAACCTCGGAGGATGCATGGAAGATCGAGACAAAGAAGAAGCAGACGGCGGAGGAGCGGAGGCGGTCGATGGAAGTGTACCGGCTGCAGAAGCAGCAGTGGCTCAGCGACCACGTGCTGATCTCGCTGCTAGGGGCCGCCGTTGTGTGGGGCGTCAGCTCTGCTTCCGCCACTTTCAGCTTCGCTGTCGGCGCCGCGGCCGGCGCGTTTTACCTGATCCTCAAGCAGCGAGAGGTGGATGCGTGGAATGTCGCCGCTGCGGCAGCTGGCGAGGAGCAGGAGGCGCCCGCGCCGCGCACACCGCCAGCACTCGTCGCGCCAGTGCTGCTCATCCTCGCGGTGGCGAAGAACCCTGACGCGCTGGCAGTGATTCCGGCGCTGTCGGGTTTCTTCATGCAGAAAATAGCGGCGGTCGCGCAGATCGCCTACGACTTTGAGAGCAAAGCGGAGAGAAAAATGAGCTGACCAAGCCGTGAGAACGCTGGGCCGCGTTTTTGCCGAGCGCTTTTAGCAAGTCCGCACGTAATCGCAAATCGGCGGTCCAGACACACAGAGTGTTTTCGCTCTATCAAGACCAAGAGGGTCAGCCGAGACGAAAGGACCCACGTCTTTTTCGCCTCGTACGCGCCTCCCCAGCTCCCACCACCGTCGAGTCTCGAGACGAGCGAACAGAGAGCGATATATGTATATGTGAGGAGGAGACGCGATCGCGCGTGACGATCCGTGTAAAGCCTGTAACCGTCGAGACACGAGCGCGGGCGAGAACGCGTGGCCGTGGGTATAGGGTAAAAGGCGACGAGCGGCCGAGCCCGCCCTGGCTGGTGGCCTGTCCTGTCGTCTTGCGTGTGTGAACCCGCGCATGACCAGTGATCTAAAAGTCCACAAATAGCTCTTGATCGCGTTTGTCAATCGGCGCGCCCTCCTCGAAGGAATCGGGATACTTCTCAAAGTTGGACGTGTCGTGGTCGCTCCGCACGCTCGGCTTGATCGGCGGGCTGACTTGCATCGACAGGACGCCTTGCCAGTCGAGCCCAGTGAACCACTTGTGCTTTTTAATATCATCCACTCCGCCCTTAAGGTTGCCTATTCTCTTGGTCAAGTCCGCGGTGAGCAGCTTCTTGATCAGGTCCTTCGAATGCCGGTCAAAGTGCCACGGGAATTTCAGCTTCCCCTCGAGAATCTTTTGGTAGATGCCGAGCGGGTCTTCGTCGTAAAAGGGCGGGTAGCCCGCGAGCATCTCGTAGCAGAGCACACCAAGCGCCCACCAGTCCACCGCCTTGCCGTGCCCTTTCGAGAGAATGATCTCTGGCGCGAGGTACTCTGGCGTGCCGCAGAGCGTCCACGTGCGGTACTCCACCTGTGAGTCCGAGTGGAAACCTCAGCCGCCGGCGGGCAGTGGCGGGCACAAAGGATTATGCGGCGCCGGCGGCGGCGCACTTGCTTCGCAAATCCAAAGTCGGTCACCTTGACGTGGCCGTCCCTGTCGAGAAGGATGTTCTCCGGCTTGAGGTCACGGTAAAGGATGCTGCGCTTGTGCAGGTACTCGAAGACGAGCGCCACCTCGGCGGCGTAGAAACGCGATGTGTCGTTGGGAAAGCGGCCCGCCCGTCGCAGGTGCGAGAAGAACTCGCCGCCGATGACGTACTCCATCAGCAGGTAGAGGTTGAGGGCGTCCTGGAAGGCGCCGCACAAGTTGACGATGAATGGGTGCGAGACCTGCGCAAGCACCTGCTTCTCCGTCTTGACGTGCTCTACCTGCTTCAGATGGATCACCTCCGCCTTCTTCAGGATCTTGAGAGCGTAGTGCCGGCCGTCGCGCCGGAATCTGACGAGGCGGACCCGGCCAAAGCTCCCCGTGCCGAGCGTCTCTTTCATCTCAAACTCGGTGAGCTTCAGGCCCTCCGCGACCACCATGGCGGTTGCCGACCGCTGAGCGCGCCCGGCTTGAGCCACTCCGGGGTGCTATTGGCACGCGCGGTTGGGGAGGGCTCCCACGGCGACGCGGGTCGATCGACTGTTCGGCAGAGTTTGCTCGACCAATGGCGGCGACGCGGCGACGAGGAAACGTAACACGCATCAATCAAACCAGGCGCCCGCGCCGGTGTGTACAATTTTCGCCGTTCGCAGAGCTGGCGCACCGTGCCTTCCCAGGCTCGCTCCTTCGGCCGCCTCGGCCGCGTCGTCGTTGCCATGGAAGGGATTTCGGCCGTGTCGGCCGCATCTGTCTGTGTCCATCCTCGCCGCCGCCGCCCCCAGAAACCGATCTCGCCGCCGCCACCGGCGCCGCTCCGGCGTGTGCGGTGTGCGGTGCGAGGTTACGTTCTCGTCTACCTGCCAAGGGTACGAAGTTTCTCGGAAGAGAGAGGTGGTTCGGCGTCGTCTACCTGAGAAAAAGACTGACGGGCCACTCTGCCGCCGCCACGGCTCCTGGCCGACGTGCGAGTGCGCGAGGTTGAAGCGGTGCGTCGCGTTTATCGCTCCAAGCCTCCAAGCCTGCGCCTCTCGTGGCCAGCCCGTGTCGAGGAAACACACAGTCGCATAGCTGGGAGGCGATATGGCGTCGACACGGACAAAGCGGAACCGAAGAGACGAGGGTGGCTCTACACCAAAGGAAGGGCACTCGAAAAAGAAGGGCGCCGAGAAGAAGCACTTCCGCGTGCCCAAGGCTGGGCTGGAGGCGCTGGGCGGAGAGTGGGCCTCGTTAGACCCCTTCGAGGGCAACGAGAACGAGCTCTACGAGTGGATCTCTGATCCCGCGCTGTGGGCGCGGGTCGTGCTCGGCGACATCGACCGGCCATCCTCGCGCCCCCCCTCTCGGGCGTCCATGGGAGGCAACGGCGACGGCGGCAACGGCATCGGCGACGACACCTCGGCCGCGCACGGTCGGAGCAACGGCCACGGCGACCGTCGCTCGAGCAGCAGCCGCTCCCAGCAGCGGCTCGGCCAGCTGCACGCTGGCTTCCGGGAGGCGCTAGACGCGGACGGGTTCGTGCTATGGCGCTCCTTCCCGCCGCTCGGTCCGTCCCACCTCACGCTGCGCCAGGCCGGCCTGCCCCTCAGCCGGCTCGAGCTCTGCCGCTTCTCCATCGCGGCACAAAAGCTGACTCCGTCGAGCCGGTTTGGCAGCGGTTGGGAGGTCCGCTCCTTCCCCGCCGCCGCAGTGGACTCGCCTCCGTGGGCGGACGCCGCCCGACAGGTCATCGCCCGCGCCACCTTCCCCTTCATGGGCTCCACGCTGCAGCTGGTGGACCAGGCGCGTGTACGATGCGCAGCCTCCTCCGACACTAGGGGAGGTACACTAGGGGAGGCTTGCTCTGCATGCTTGCTCTGCATGCTGCTCGCCCCGCTCGTGGCGGCATATCCCACCCCCCACCCCCCCGCCGCACTCCTCTCGCCCCACGCCTCCGCACCCCCGCTCCGCGGCAGGACTGGATGACCTCTCGCTTCCAGCGCGAGGATGCTCTGCTGCACGCGCTCTGCGAGGGAGAGCGCGCTGTCGAGCAGTGAGCAGAGTACCTTCTTGGATCCCGCTCCGAACCTTCCCCGAACCGACCGGTAGGCGACGGCCCGTCTAGCCGCGTCGTCGCCGCCGCCCTCTCGACGCCCTTCCCCGCCGAGCGCCTGCTCCGTTCCATGCTCCTCTCCGAACACAGCGACGAGGTGCCCCTGACGCGGAATCGGGTCTTGAACACCCCGTCTCTGCGCTAGTTTCTGCGAGACCTGCCCCCCTCTCTCCTCCCTCGAACACCCCGTCTCTCCGAGATCTGCCCCCCCCCCCCCCCCC